TGTGGACTCTTGATTTATGTTTCTGGTCATGGCACTACCTATCTACTCGTCAAATGTATCCTCATTCAGCACCTTTCAGAAGACAGAGCTTACGTATGCTTCATTTTACTACACCTTCCTTCATGCACACAAACGCAGTCCCCGCCAAATCGTCCTCAACCTTCTCGCATGTTCGTAGCAATACCAGAGGCCAGAAGTCATGTGGAGTATTTTCACAGAGGACGTGTCCGACATCCTGCTTGACCACCTTTGCCGAATTCTCAGAGATGATGGAAACTCTTTCAAACAATGGCACCACAGCACATCAGCTTGAAAGTAAACCCATCTCCAACGTGTTGCACACTTATCGGCAAAAGTGCCACCCTCAACTGTTCCCCCACAATCTCTCAGTAACAGTGAACTACCGAAGGTGAAAACTAACTGACTGACAGTTTCTTCAGACATATAATTTCAGTAGTAGTGCAATCCAGTTTGCTTACATGTTAGAATGTAAACAGAGAATTGGATCGCAAAGTGAAACGAAGAAGAGCTATTGGCTTAGATATCACTGTCTGTAGGAGGTCAGTATACTCCGACAGGTATCTAAACAGCAGGTCATCACATGCAATACCAGTTAAGAGAGATACAGTGGGGTGTTTAGCTAAAAGAGTTCAAAAGCTAGCCATAAAATTAAAGGAACAAAGTGAGGGATTGAAACATTTCGGGATGCGTCTGACTAACAGACATTCTGTTTAATTAATGAGGAAGTTATTAAGGACACAAAAAATAGTTGGTAATCCTACTGCGTATGATGACAACATAAGAGAGCCATCATGGTTACTACTGTGCCACAACATATGGAAAGAACATGCAGTTGGAATGACGCACCACCCATCCGGGAGGCCCAAAATATCTAGTACAACTGGAGCCAAAGAAAACGAGGTGATAAAATTACAGAACAACAAATTTCGACACTTGAGCAATTACTTTGTATCGGCGAGCTGTTAATATATTTTCATCCAGCATGTAGGTAAGTAGGCAAGTAGGTACGTGATTGCAGGGTGTGTGTGTAGAGTAGTGTGAGTTTGGTGGCGGGTACGATAATCTAAAAGGGAAAGGATGAAGCGAAAAGTAGATGAGTTTACTACTCAGCGAGTCCGCAGGATGTACTTACATTTAATAAAAAATAATTGACAAACGTTAATGTTTGGACAGCGAAGAGGTGAGGCAGCCTAGAAATGGAAACTAGAAGGTGAACGGGTACGATTTTGAGTGCGTTATGACTTTGGTATGCTTATGAATAATAATTTATGCTCGGAGCATGACGCAGTAAATAATACTGTATCACTCTGTGATATATGAAACAAAGAAATCTAATATGGAGCTTTCGAACTTCATTTTCAGACCTACGCTGTATTAAAAATGTTAGTTTAATGTATATTAACAATAATTGAATGAAGTGTAGGGATTAGAAATAGGTTGTTTCCGAGAATCGTTTAAGCCAGTAAACCTTCCTTCTTGGTTTCATGCGGTTTTCCTTGTAAGCGGACGGCGACTTTTCATATTTTTCATTTGTGGGCGTTTTTATTTCTGGCTGTCTTTTTTCGTTATCGATAAGTTTCACGATTTCCGAAGTAGATTCTAAAAAAGCTGGTCTTGGTCTACCGACAATAACTGCTTTATGTCTTCTGGAGCGGTCTATGGTAAATAACTTGTCTGTTATCCTGATAACACTGTAGGGTCCATCGTAAGGAGGTTGTAACGGTTTGCGAACCCATCATACCTGACAAATACGTGAGTACAGCCTTGAAGCGTTTGAAGTACATAAAACTGTTGCTTTCGTTGTCTCGGGGGTTGTGGTCGCCGGCTTTTCATTTAATCCGTGAGTCGTTGAAAAGTAGTTAGTTAAACCCTGTGGAACTTCAATCGTTTGCCTAAAATAGCCACCTGGCAATCGTAGAGTAGTTCCATGAACTAATTCTGCTGTACAGTAACCAAGATCCTGTTTCACCGTCTACAGTATGCCTAAGAGAACAAGTGGTAGCTCGTCACTCCATTTACCATCGCATTGAGTAGCCATTAATGGTGCTTTTAGCTGCCAGTAATATCTTTCTACCATTGCATTGGCAGTTGAATGGTAAGTGGTAGTCCGAGGTCTTTTGATTCCAAGTAATTCTGTGAGTTGCTGGAAAAGATTGCTTTCGAACTCCACATCTCGGTTTGTAGTAGTCATTGCAGGTACACTAAAATTCTAAATCCAGTGTTGGATGATATTTTTGGCGATTGTTTCCACTGAAATGTCTGTAATAGGAACTGCGACTGGGCATTTGGTAAAATGATCGATTGAAGTTAAAATGTAGATGAAACCATTAGACGAAGGTAGAGGCCCAACGACGTCGACATGTATGTGAGAGAATCCAGCATCTGGTAAACAGAGTGCACTTGCGGCAGCGTCAGTGTGCCTTTGTACTTCGGCTCTTTGGCAGGATAGACATAACTGTGCCCATTCTCGTATGTCGTGATTCACATTAGGCCACACAAAATGCTCGGTGATTAGTTCGATTGCTGCATTGATTCCTGGATAAGATATGTTATGCATACTGTCAAAGATGTCGCGTCTTATAGCATGTGGTACATAAAGTCGGGGTTTTTTAGTTGATATGTCACAGATCACCTTAAAATCATCAAACTGCACTTTGGTAAACTTCAAAGAAGACGTTGAAGTAGGCCATAACTCCAACAATTTTGAATCTGTCTTTTGCAACCAGGATAAACGTTTGTAGTTAACACTAGAAATGATGAGGTTGCTGACGTGCATGCGCGATAAGGCATGAGAGACTTCGTTGCCATGGCCTTTGATATGACATACATCGGACATCAGCTGGGCTATGAAATCTAAGTGACCTAATTCACGTGGGGGATAAATGTCATGTTTAGCTGATACGGCCTTAGTCAGCCGCTTGTGGTCTGTGAAAACTGTAAAATTAGAACGCTCCCAATCTCTAGCGGTTTCTCGGACATCTTCACAGTTAACTCACCTACTGGTCAGGATTCTTAAAGTGACGAATCGTCTAAACTTTTCCAACAGTTATAGTAGCACAAATGTTCTGAACAAATGATTAAACCGGAGACCAATTTACTTAGTAGCTCGGAACGCTACTAACCTACAGTAACACCTCACTATATGTTTTCTAGTACTCTGTATCAAGTCATCTTTCAAACGGAAGGTACTATGCATCAAATACACTTCTCGAATTATGCTGCTTACGTTAATACTAAAGATGCCTGAAGTCTATGTTTAACTACTACCATTTGGACGATCAACCGTTTCAACGTCTATTTTCATGCACTACAACAACACTACAACATGGTGAACTGAAAATGCATTGATTTAGATACTCAGCTTGGTTATGTAACTGTGGATTATTATTATCACTATTATTATTTTTCCCTTGGGTTCCTAGTGGAACATACAGCTTCAGTAGCACATCTCCATTGCACTCTGTTTCTCTGCAGTCTTTTCAACCTGGCTCCACGACTGCCCACAAGCTTTCATTTCTTCCTCACATAATCTCTTCCATGTCACCCTCGGCTCAGACGCCCAACTCATCGTTTCCCCTTTGGATTCCACTCGATGGCCTGGCGCGTGATGTCCCCAATCGGCCTTCTCAGTGTATGCCCATTTTCTTCAGCATATTTGTTGGGTGATGGGTTCTTGGTTGGTTCGTTCCCAGAGTTCCTTGTTGCTTTTTCTAATTATTTTGGTCGTCTGATCTCCAGTCAGTATTGAGTAAAAACTGAAGAACTTTCCAATGAATAGATGGTTACAATACTAAATAACAAACTGCACAAATGGACTAACGGTTGGTTATAACGTAAACTTCGAACGTTGTACTCTATTGTTCCTAGTAGTAGAACCCATCTGTGTGATCGAAGATGAAAATCCATGCCTGTCTCATGAATTGCAACACGTTTTATTTAAGTTTCCGTAAGATTATGCATATCAATGACTTGATATGTAAATTTTATCCAATACTAAACACCATTTTGTAAACTTTCATGAATTATCAATTTAATGATGCTTGTAAACTTGTATCACTCATATTCGTTTCTTGTTCGTTGTTAGTTTCATAACTAGCAGGATCTGATATTTTTAATACATTTCAATGACATACCTTGTGTACCATTTACGATCCGTAACAACTTGTAGATATTTCAACATATATCAATGTGATGATGCCTATAAACTGGCTTCTCCAAAGTTAAATTACTAATGTGAGAATACAGTTATTTATTTCAAGTTGTTATTCATCGTAGACTGACATCAGTTGGAGGAGCAAAGGGAACCTGGGAGCACTGGACAGCTGTTTCATCCTAGTATGGGACTCCTCAGCAGTGCGCACCCACGACCCCACCAGCAGGGATCGAACCCGCGACCTTCAGGTTCCGCGACCAGCGCGTTACCATTGAGCCACTGGGTCAGAAACCAATGCTCCATATTTCCAACTTCTGTTAGCTCACGATATATAGCGCAACCGCCACCGGTGGAGTCAAAGCCTGATGGTCATGAGGACAGATACTCAACGATGACATTGGGTGGCGATTGCGCTATATATCGTGAGCTAACAGAAGTTGGAAATATGGAGCATTGGTTTCTGACCCAGTGGCTCAATGGTAACGCGCTGGTCGCGGAACCTGAAGGTCGCGGGTTCGATCCCTGCTGGTGGGGTCGTGGGTGCGCACTGCTGAGGAGTCCCATACTAGGATGAAACAGCTGTCCAGTGCTCCCAGGTTCCCTTTGCTCCTCCAACTGATGTCAGTCTACGATGAATAACAACTTGAAATAATTCCAAATCTCCACAACTCCCTCAAAATTTAATTATTTATTTATTTCGTAATCATAACCAAGCTACAGCTGCTTAATTTGCATACCTGTCTATCCACCCATCTATTTACTCTCCATTTGCATATATATGTGGGTGTCTGTATTCCAACGAAATTATACAAATCAGCCAATGTCCATTAAACTTCATTTTGATTACCGTTAACACAAATTACATAATTATTATATAGTTCGATACTATATATACCAAAAAACATCACTGTTTGACTTCTTTTTTATCTCAAAGGTAGTTATGCACGTAAGATTATTTTTAAAGAGCTGTTTTTATGGTTACATATATATATATATATATATATATATATATATATATATATATATATATATATATATATATATATATATATATATATATATATATAGCAATACATAAAGGAGAATATTACATCCCGAGTAACCCCCTCTGTGTTTCAGTGTATGCCAGGGTTCAAGAACGTCGAGATCAGCAGTATACTTATCTAAGTAAAGTAAGAACAGTGGATTTTGTACAATACGATGGATTCATGATGTTCAGTTATCTTCATTTCAACTATGTGTGCACTGTAAACATTGTAGGAACTATGCGAAAAATGCCTACCTGCATATCTTACTGATTGACAAGAAAAAACCATACTGATGAAGGAAATCCGAATGAATTAACTTAATGATTAAAATTAAAGTTTTCTAGATCTCGAAAAAGTTTAAAATAATCAACAAACAAATTAGTGCTAATTTTCTTGGATTCATAGAAGCTATTCCTGTCAGAAGAATCGAGTCGAAGTTGTACGTCCAAGAGGTGGTGTTGGTTAACCTGCAACTTACAGAGTTGCCACTGACTTCCTTCATTACACTTCGCTGATGTTACTTGATTGTAGGTACTTGATAGGAAATCCTATTTGACTTCATACTTGTCGGTATTCATCAGTTGAGCGTATCTGTAATTTCCAGGGAACTGATGTCCCCTGTGAGATTTGAAGCCATATCACCTAGTGGCAAATTCAGAGACGTTACCAATAATCGATTCACGCCACGCTCTACCTCCTGAATTAAGTACTCTGACTGGTCACTTGAAACTAGCCGGTTCCATTTTGTCATGTCCATAATGATGACCAAACTGTAGATGATCTTTTAGTGGATAAATATGAGAAACCACAACGACACTTGTCTTATTAGGAATTTCATGTTCAGTGCCACTTACTGCATACTCTGTGAATCAGCTAAGGCTAATGGTGTTTAGATACTTATAATTTCTCGCTGCTATACAAGGCAAATTACTAGACCTCGGTTGACAGATGAGCTCCTATATGGATGCCTTGATACTGCTGAATATTCGTGATACCACGTTATTCTTGGTGACTAGCATTGGAATCCATGACGCCCGTTTCGTTGTATTTGTGACTTGTCAGCTGGTTTTACTTGCACTCCAGTGAATAACGTCGTTCAAACTCAGACTTAAGTCTAGTATGCATCGCTTCAAATGCTAACGACCCAAACAGGTCACAACGCACGTCCTGGACTCCACGGTTAGTCATCAAGATTAATATAAGAGGTGGCTGTTGTGCCCCATTAACCCACTAGATAACACTTTGGTGTTTGAACCAAAGGTCACTCACTGGATAAGAGCCTCAGTGGAGAAAATGTCACTCACTTGGGTGTATCAACATCCAGCTGACGAGTCCCAAACAAGACGAAACGTACTTCCTAGATTTCACTGTTAGTTACCAGATGATAATTATCATTTAACACTTGTGAATAGCTCATGTTACAAGTGAATTTTTATGACCTAGTTCATTAATTTCTGTGACATGAATGATTTTGTCAAGTCCATTGTTATTGTAACTGTCCTGGAAGAGGGTGAGCACCGAATCCGGTTTAATCATTATATAAGTAGGTTTTAATATAATCTCAGCGTGGATGCTACAGCTTCCGAATACTCTGCTGAAGACTCTGTGGCATATACACAGAAGTGATCTGGAAAATCCTGTTCTGATTTAAATTCTGTATCAGATTAGTCTATTCTTTATAGAACAGAGTGACAGAGTAGTAGGTACTAGAAGATGTTTCGAGGAGAGTTTACTGCTCATAAACATATTAATGTAATCGCACTATCTTCTGTTATAATTTTTCATAGTTATGTTATTCGACTGCTTTGATTTAATTGGTGGTAAATTTTACCAAAACATTCGGGTTATTAGGTTGGTATCTACCAAAGGCTGATATCCTTCGGAGAACCACTGAGAACCCGTCTCCACTGGATCACTGTTTCGTCCTACTAGTATGGGCCTCCTCAGCAGCGCGCACTTGTGATCCCTCCGGGAATCGAACTCAGGACCTCCTGGTCCCGCGACCAACACGTTGCCATTGAGCTACTGATCCATATTTCCTACTTCTATCTGTTAACGATAAAGTGCAACCTCCATCCAATACCGTTGCTGAATAGCTGTCGTCAAATCCACTTTGGTTGGCCCCACTGATCACGACTTCTAATTGTAGCTTCTGGAATCACCTCTCAAAGCGAACCAGTAATGAGCACTAGACTGGTTTGTAGAAATATATAAGAAGAGGACTAAGAAGTCAAAGCCTCTGTAGTTTTACTACATAAGGAAGGAACATTAAAAACTCTACATAAGATTTTTAACAAGATTCAACTCAAAGAATACAGCTCAATCAAGATCATCCACCTGATCTATAGATAGTATCCACCATTTCATACTGAATATGTATTTACTGGGTCTGTTTGAAGTGGGTATTATTGTTGATTGACGTTTATCTGTGTGGTTATGATAAGGGAAAAGTACAATGAGTCTTGTTAAAAGTCTCCTTCCTTTCTTATAACTCGTTCAACTGATGTCTATAGACTTTGAAGTTCATCTAGAAAACTTGAGAGAAATTAGTTCATACCTTGTCTAATCAGACTATACACACAAATGAACTCACTTTATCAAACACCTGACTATCAGTTACCTCAATTTTCACTTATGTTCTACATAGTAAATGTGCACTTACGTAATCGGAGAAAGTGTATATATGCGTATGTGTGTATATATATATTTAACCACTATTTGATCATATGAAATTTCGTGTATTATGATGCCATTACAAGACAAATAGATGGATGGATGGATGGATGGATGGATGGATGGATAGATGAATGTGATTTGTTATTATGATTTATATACAATGATAATAACGATAACCTTGATCACATGTGACTTAGTCATACTAAATTATTTCATTTCTCTATTGAATTAAGAAAGTACAAACCTTTCATATGATGTCATTTCAGTGATAAGTCTCTTTTATGAATTTAGATAAGGTAATTAGAAGACGTGACTTGGCGCGTCACGAAAGGTATTTCCAATAAACTACAGACATTCATCAACAACTGCTTACGCTCGCTACTGAAGATCAGATGGCCAGAAAAAAATAAGCAACAAGGAACTCTGGGAACGAACCAACCAAGAACCTATCACGCAACAAATATGCAGGAAGAAGTGGAGATGGATTGGGCATGCACTGAGAAGGCCGACTGAGGACATCACGCGTCAGGCCAGGTACTCGAGTGGAATCCCCATGGGAAGCGACGAGTTGGACGTCCAAGGGTGACATGGAGGAGGTCGTGCGAGCAGGAAATGAGAGCTTCTGGGCTGTCGTGGGACCAGGTTCAAAAGATCTCAGAGAACAGAGGTCACTGGAGGCGTGCTACTGAAGCCCTATGTTCCACTAGGAACCCAAGGGACTAATAATAATAATAATAATAATAATAATAATAATAATAATAATTAGAAGACGTAGATTATCTGAAAAATGTGTGTGATGTATTTGTGCTATACATTTCGAATAGTCTGATCACATATTTACAGGAAATTCACTTGGATAGGTCAGTACATAAGTTTCCATAGGATTTATTCAGTCAGATACAAGCGAGGTTTAGAAACCTGGCTATTTAAAAGGATCTAGAGTATTTGTACGGAAGACCGAATGGATGTTGACATCAAAATACTAACTGAAATACGAATGGGAAATGGATATCCATTGAATTCCATAAACCGCTGCAAAAATCAACAAGGATTGAAACCAAGTTTGTAATTTGTTTCGAAGAAATACGTTTACATCACGTTAACATACATACGAGAAACTAGTAGCATAATGTTAAAACGAAGATTGAAATGAAGACAGGAGTAAGACAAAGTTGCCTATTATCATTAAAGATGATCTTCCTGATTGTGGTCGATTCGACTAGACTGGACTGGATCATGCAACAGACAACTGTGAGGAGAGAGAAGATGGACAGACGCTGTTTAACCGATGAAAAGACCCTAGAAGATTTGAATTTTGCGAATGGTGATTTATTTCTAATGTCTAATATCACACATAAACTCGAAGATTTACAGACGAAAACCAACAAGTTAACAAAAGAGGCAGGGCAGCAAAAGGCTGGACCTCTGTTGGGTGAACCTGTAGAAGACAGAGGTGATGAAGATATCCAACAGCCACAGCCACCACCACCACTACCAACAACAACATCAAGAAGCACCGATCGCCATCAACCGGAGAAACCTAGAAGAAGTTGTCATTTTCGCCTACCCCTTTACCTATGCAGCATCCTCTCAACTGCAGACGGCACAGGCACAGATGAGGATATCAAAGCCGGCATCGGAAAAGCAAGATAGACCTTCATTAATCTCAAGTCAATATGGTAAAGTCGCTGACTACAATACTGGGTGACGCGGGTTCGAATCTCAGGTGGGACATAAGTTCCGTCGGGGTTGCAGATATGCCTTGCTGACGAGTGCCAAAAAGCACGAAACCTAGGTCCAGGGCTTCCTGCCGATTGCCTCCAACCAACTAACAATATGGACATTTACTGCGCTCCACTCCACTCGGCGTAAAGCTTGAACAATATCCGGATTTTCTGCACTACTAATCTCAATCACGTAAGTCACTGCTTCTATGTGATGCTTGAAAGACTTGAAGCGTCACGAAAAGAATTCCCAACGAACTACAGACATACATCATGAACACCCGCCATCTAAGCTCACTCGATATTGAAGATCGATCAGATGACCAGAATAATAAGAATAAGCAAGAGGAAACTCTCTCTATCTGGCTGGCTGACAACGAAGCAAGGAGCTATTACCCAACGTGTATGCAGAAGAAGGAAATGGAAATGGATTGTGTTGGGCAGACACCAAGAAGACCATTCATGGACATAACGCACCAGAGTAGGTACTCGAGTAGAAGCCGGAT